TCCAGAGCGTTTGGAGCATGAAAGGCGGGGCGGATGCTTGCACGCACACACAAGCAGCTACAGTACATCCGATTGCCTTTTCATTGTTCGTGCGGATCTCTTGCCGTTCTACTCGTCATCCTACTCACCATCTAGCGACCATCACAACTCGCGCGGAGAGGCGCGACCAGTCCGGTCAGGTTGAGCCTCATCACACCAGCATTCGCCCACGATACACATCAATTTTCTTTACTCTGCAAACTTGAGGCAGCGCTCGCCTGTCGACCCACACGCGCCTCCAGACAGTGTCGCTCAAGAGGCCCCGCAGGCCGTGTGCAGACAAGTCACCCATCCTTCCCATTGCTCCTTGTCTCGGCTCGGCTGTCTAGCTGCTCCTCATTCGGGCCAGCAAAGAGCCGCACGTAGAGATGGCCCGAGGGGTCAGCCAACGAGCTGTGGGGGGTGGTGGAGGCTCGCGCAGAGTGTTAAAGTCTGGAAGCAGGGGTGGGAATAGGGGCGCAAACAGCTCAGCCGGCAACAGGGAGGCGACGGGGGGTAGATCGCCCACGTCGAGCGTCAAGGGCCGAAGCAGGGCGAGCAGCACAGCGGCCAAGCGGAGCACAAGGCCATCGAGCCCGGGCAATTTGGACGCAGAAGCCGCTTCACCGCCCGACCCTGGTCTCCTCAGCCCGTCCGAATCGGGCAAGATGCTCTCGACCTCGTCCAGCTCAGACGATACCTCGGAGCACGATGACGACTTTGAGGACGCAGAAGGGGGCGAGACTCAGGAGATTAGTCTGGGAGACGAGCTAGCAGGGGAAGATTTCCAGCAGGACCATGGCACCCCAAGCGATGCTCCCAAGCCCCGCAATTCTGGAAGCGTGGAAGAAACAGATGGCGAAGCGGTGGATCTGGGCACACCGGTCTTGCCCAAAAGGCAGATCCACAAGGTACCTTCCAGCAGCCAATTTGTCGCGGTCGACTTGCCACTGCCAGCGCTCCACCACGCAGACACTTCGACCACGAAGGACCCCTCACCCGAACTCAGCATCATACCGCCCGCACCCGCTGCCGAGTTTCGCTCTCAGTCCGTCTTGTCAGACAACTCTGATGCGTCAGCGTCCGCGGCTGGCGGAGCGAACAGCGCCACGGCTGGACAAAAGACGGCTCGTCGGTTCTGGGAACGTTTGCGGGCCGGATCCTCGAGTGAGCCGAATCAGGCTCCCAAACCTCCATCGAGCAATGATGGAGCTTCAGAAGCGGGCTCAAGGTCAGCAACTCCTGATCCGGGGCCCCGACCGACACTGCCGGCCCGATCAGGCGCGTCTGCTCCAGGTGCGCCTCAAGGCTCATCGGTTCAGCCCATTCGCAAATCGACGTTCGCCATGCCCACGCTGTCCTCACTCGCAGCCGCCGCTCAAGCAGCAGCTGCAGCAGGTTCTGCCGCTGCCGCCGATTGGGCAGCCTCGAGAAATGCTGCAGCAGTGCAACAACCTGCGGAACGTCAGAGATTGCCGAGATTTCAGGTGGACGAGGCCAAGTTGGCAGAAGATGTGATGCGTTTTGCGGATGCGAGAGACACGCTGCACAATGAGAGGAATCCCGAGCGCTTGAGGGAATTGGGTAATAGGTTGGAAGAGGGTTGGCGAGAGAAGGTGAGCGAAATTGTGACGAAGCAGCACTAGCGCTTCGAGCAGCGTTGAATCTATTGGATCCTACTTTGCACCTCTGGTGACAGCTCTCGGAGACAGCTGTGATGAGAGAAAAGCTGGAGCAGGCGCAGCTAAGTATCTATGACGTCGAGGACGAGAACAAGAATCTGCGTCTCTCTTTGAAGGGTCTAAGTGAGCAAATTGCCAGCCTTGAAAGTGCTTTTCACACCTTTCAACTTAGCACTATCGAACAGTGAGTTCAGCAATCTTGAACGTGTCGCTGGGAGGGTTCCACTAATGAGTCCATATGATTCACAGGATGCGCAAGGAGAAAGAGCTGTTCGAAGAGGAGAGGTGAGTTGACTTGGTGTCAAATCGCAACCTTCACCAACTCACCCTGTCCGCTTTCGTGCGCGCAGACGCGAAGAGCTGGAAATTTCCCGATACGAGGTTGCGCAGGGCAAGCGTGAGCTTGCCGAAAGCAAGGCAATCAACGCTCAGCTCCGACTGGTCGTCCTCAGCGGCTTGCGAAATGCGACCGGGCTGGGCTCGGAGCTCGCTCATTTGGATCCGAATGCAAAGACGGGGCTCGAGTCAAGGCTGAGAGCGATCGAGAGAGGAGAGCACGGCAGTCTGGCTGCCGCTCTTGGCTCGCCACCGCCTTCTGCAACGCTCAATACGCCCATGCGCGCTCTTCTGTCCCACGACGGGGCATCGCAAGCGCAGACGGAAGGCAGCCATGGCGAGTCGTCTGCCGCGGATGAGAGCGAAAAGAGCGGCGCGGCGACCTCGACAGATCGAACGAGTTTCGAAGAGGGCGATACGCTGGAAGCTTCTGTCGGTGCGAATGGACAAGATGGGGAAATCGACGAGACGTCGTTGTTGTTTGACCTGCCCATCAGTCCTACAACGTCGAGACCCGTCACGATGCTCTTCAACGAGCCTGTTCATATTGCGAAGCTCAATCATCTTCTGGGACTCACCCCTGCGCAGTCTGGCGTTCAGGAGCCCATCGCCGAAGCGGACGAAGGTCAGACCATCACCATTTCAGAGTCTGCTGGCGCAGGCGGTGCTTCGAGCGCGCCAGCAGCGGTCAGATCTCTCCTGTCGCCAGGCAGCTCACCAGGCACCGCTCGTTCAGCTACCATCTTTGCAGGTCATTCAGTACCAGCGAGCGCAGCCGTTCCGCACACGCCGCACGCCCCGCCAGCTCTGGCGGCACAGCTGACGGGCGCCAAAATGTTGGCGGATGAAGAGCACCAGAGAGCGGTCAAGGAGGAGAATGAGACGTTGAGAATTCAGCTCAAGAATAGCTTGACTGCGCTCAGGGCTTTTGAGCAGGAAGCGGACGAGCTTAGACACCGACTCAAACAGACGGAAGCTGCTGTCGAAGGTCTCTTCAATTCTCATTAGCGACCGCTTGCTTGCTTGCCTGCCTGGCTTGAGAAAGGAAGTTTGAAAGCATGGACAGTCGGAAGATGTGCTCGGCTCGAAGTATGATGGACCTATCCCCACGTCTGTATCAACAAACACAAAACTTGCATCATTCTCAGCCGATCGTGAATCAAGAATGCGAATTCGATGCGCATACACTCTGCATGCTTTTCAAAAGGTGTGCTGCGGCAGCTCGCTGTGACCGTGCCACTTGAAAGTCCGCAATGGTCATCTCCGTCCGAGGATGCCTCCCAGACCTTTACTGGCGCGTTCCACGTCGCGCATCGTGATGCTCACCCGCGTCTGTCTCTCCACCTCGACCCTAGGGAATTGCTTGGCACCTGCTTCAGCCGGCAAGACATCAAAGGCTTGGGCTGGGTCACTCTGCACCGCAACGCCTGCGCTGATCAAAGCTTGACGCAAGTGCGGAGCTTTGATCGAGGAGCCATTGATCACGCGCGAAAAGTGCTGCGTGGTGTCGCTACTCCGGTCTGCTATGCCGTGCAGATAATCTCTGCAATTCGTCGGGCGAGCAGATAGGAGGAGCCGGTGCAACAAGTCAGCTGCGAATGTGAAGACTCGTGTGCACATAGCGGGCGCCGAAAGAGCGCCAAATCGACTCACTTGTAAGCGTCTCCACGCGTGATCAATAGAGATCTGCGCTCTTGCAGAAT